CCCGGGAGCTATGTACCAGGAAGACTTCCTCCCCTGGTCTGATTCCAGCCTCCCAGCCCCCATCACATTTGCCTCTGTCAAAGTAGTTGCTTGTCCCTGTCAGCCTCCTTTCCAATCCAGGAGCTCCCCTGGCGCAGAGCTTGTGTGACTCATCCCTGAGCCTGGCCCAGGGAATGTTTGAGGATAAGAAATCCCTTTAAAATGCCCGGACATACTTGCATGCCTCCCGTGATGGTGAGCTCATCCCTCTATCGCTGGCTGGCCCTGAGTTCCTTCCATTAGCCCAGTTCTGTCCCAGCTGCCCTCAGCCCCTTTTTTCCATGTGTTATCCTCAGTAGCACCCATGTACTATCTCTGGGCACCCAGGCTACTGCTTGCCTCTGGATCTCTGCAGAGACTGTGCCCTCTGCCGGGATGCCCTCCCTCAAGGCTGCAGCCTCTTCTCTTCTGGAGACCTGATGCTTTCTTCTCTCTGTGAATTCTTTTTTTTTTTTTTTAAGATTATTTATTTATTTGAGAGAGCACAAGCAGGGGTTGGGGGGAGCGGCAGAGGGAGAGAGAAAAGCAGACTCCCCACTGAGCAGGGAACCCGACGCGGGACTCAATCCCAGGACCCTGCGACCATGACCTGAGCCGAAGGCAGACGCTTCACTGACTGAGCCACCCAGGCGCCCCTCTGAATACTTTTTTTTTTTTTTTAAAGATTTTATTTATTTGACAGAGAGAGACACAGCGAGAGCAGGAACACAAGCAGGGGGAGCGGGAGAGGGAGAAGCAGGCTTCCCGCTGAGCAGGGAGCCTGATGTGGGGCTCGATCCCGGGACCCTGGGATCATGACCTGAGCTGAAGGCAGCCGCTTAACCGACTGAGCCACCCGGGCGCCCCTAATTAAAGACTCTTTAAAGACAAAATATACACACACATACATATATTCTCTAAATATTCCTTAAATTGTCCCTATCTGCTTGATATAGTCTTTTGCATAGCTGATTGCTTCTCTATGAACATATATTTATATGTGATTTCGTGTACAAGTATAATAACTTACATCTGTATATGTACGTATATGGAGATAGTATATGTATTAAAAAGCCCACAGATCCTAAGTGTCAGGCTTGATGAACTTTTCCTGACTGAACACAGTTGCAGAATCGGCCCCCTGAGGCAGAAATGACATCCCCTCCTTGTGTACCCTCCCAGTCCCCTGTCCTCCCCGCCAAGGATAACTACACTCCCATCATCCAACACCATAGGTTAGTTTGCCTGCATCTCGAAGCTTTTAATAGTGGTTTAAACGAAGTCCAGAGAGTGCTCTAGCCTCAAATTCAGTTGCTGTTCAAATGTCTGTCTCTCTGCAATAAAGTTTAAGCAGGTGCTTTGTAATATATGGTCCATTTATAATAGAGGATTTTTTTTGTCTGGTCCCTACACAACAGTTTTTTTTTTTTTTTTTAAAGATTTTATTTATTTATTTGCGAGAGAGAGAATGAGAGACAGAGAGCATGAGAGGGAGGAGGGTCAGAGGGAGAAGCAGACTCCCCGCCGAGCAGGGAGCCCGATGCGGGACTCGATCCCGGGACTCCAGGATCATGGCCTGAGCTGAAGGCAGTCGCTTAACCGACTGAGCCACCCAGGCGCCCCAATATATGGTCCATTTATAATAGAGGATTTTTTTGGTCTGGTCCCTACACAACAGTTTTAAGGCGAACACTTGAAACAGTTGTGGTCATCCTCAGGAATAGAACAGAGCGTGCACACTGGTTCCCAGGGCCCACCCCACCCCCGCCACCACCCTCACCCAGGCCGTGCTCAGCAGTGTGGCTTCCTTCTGGCTGCCCTCACCCGGTGAACTGCTGCTAAACGCTCCTCACCTTTCGGAGCGCTCCTCAAATGTCCCCTCCTCCTGGCAGCCACCACCAAGGCCCCGGGTGGCCTGTCTCTGTGCATTTCACTCAGGTGTGGGGACAGGGCTCATTGCCTGTACCTTCTCAGGCCAGGAACCCCTGGGGGCAGATCAGAAGTTCCGGGGCGGCATGGGTTCTGGGTGCCCAGCGTCACCCCCACTCAGGCCTGGCCCACGGAGCTCGGGAAATGTGTCATTAATAAATGATCAGGTGGCCTCTGGGGCCACACAGGCCAATTCAAGCTCATCCCTGAGGAACTGGCCCTTCCTGGCCTGGGTCCCAGAGACCCTCTCCCACCCTCATCCCCGGGTCCTCCACCCCCTTCCTGAGGATGGAGAGCTGGTCGCTCTACACTTCTTAAGGCCCTTATTCACATCTTCATGCCTTTTCTGAGCTTGGCACTTGGTAGGCCCTTGGAACATGGAGTTGCTACCCAGAAAAGTGGCAAATGGTGGCCCTGCCCTCTAGGGGCTCCTTTTGTGGCCTGGGGGACAGGGGCAGACCCCGACACCCACAGCAGGTGCTCTGCTGGAGGGGACACAGGCCACGTGGGAGCCACACGTGTGGTTTTAACTTTAACCGTAGCCACACTGTTTGTAAACGGAGAAAGCAGCTGGAAAGCTTAATTTTACTCACATGTTTCCATAATCTGATACACCAAAATGTTGTCGTTTCGACACGTAATCAGTGTTTTTAAGTTTTCGATGAGATACTTTACGTTCTTTCTTTCTCCTCCTCGGTCTTCCAAATCCAGCGCGTCTTTGCCGCCTAAATCCCATCTCAGTTCGGAGCAGCCACATTTCAGGTGCTCAAGAGCTGCCTGGCTGGTGGCTGCTCTATTGGACAGTGCAGCCCAGGGCCCGCTTGGCACCGGTCAGGAGGTACTAATCAGAGGGGGCTTCCTGGAGAGAAGCTTGTGGCAGCTTCCCTGGAAGTTGGGAGTTGGCGGTGAGGCAGGATCTCTAAAGACGAGGAGCGCTCATACCCTCGCCTGTTCGCTCATTTGTTCATTGCAACGGCCTCCCAGGTGCCTGGCCACATGCTTGGGGATGCGGGTGACACGGCCATGGGTCTGAGCAGGCCTCTGCTCTTCAGATGACCAGACATTTATTAAGCACTTGCTGTATGCCGGGCACTGTGGTAGAAGCTCCCTCGTGATGCTCCTAATCTGAAGTGGGAGCCAAGGTTGGACAGTAAATCTAAATAAAATAGTTACAGGGTGTGAAATGTACCAGGGAGGACTTTTTTTCTTCTTCTTTTTTTTTTTTTTTTGAAGATTTTATTTATTTATTTGACAGAGAAAGACACAGCGAGAGAGGGAACACAAGCAGGGGAAGTGGGAGAAGGAGAAGCAGGCCTCCCACAGAGCAGGGAGCCCGATGCGAGGCTCGATCCCAGGACCCTGGGATCATGACCTGGGCCGAAGGCAGACGCTTAACGACTAAGCCACCCAGGCGCCCCTTTTTTTCTTCTTCTAATGGTGGAAACAAGTATAAGGCATTGGCTTGAAAGAACTGGTCAGAAAAGGCCTCTCGGGGGTGCCTGGGTGGCTCAGTCGGTTAAGCGGCTGCCTTCAGCTCAGGTCATGATCCCAGGGTCCTGGGATCGAGCCCCGCATCGGGCTCTCTGTTCAGCGGGGAGCCTGCTTCTCCCTCTCCCTCTGCCTGCTGCTTACCTTGCTTGTGCTCTCTCACTCTCTGTCAAATAAATAAATAAAATCTTAAAAAAAAAAAAAAAGCCTCTCGGAGGAGGTGACAAGAGCTGAGACCCAAGTGACAAGGAAATGACCTGAGAGATAGGCCCAGGTGGAGGGTGCAGCACCTACGGGACCCTCCCCGAGATAGGAAGGAATGTGGAGTGTCCACGGAGGCGGTGGAGGCCAGGGGGCCAGAACACACAGTAATGTAGGGAGGAGTGAGGGTGACATTGGTGGGGTGGCCAGGGCAGGGCCAGAGGGCTTGGTAGCCATGGGGTGGGCTCCCCCCCAACAGGGAGGCGGAGAGGTCAGAGAGGAGGCTGCTGCAGGGTTCTGGGTGAGGAGGTTGTGGTGATGGTCCCGGTGTTCTGAAGGTCAAGCCGAGGGGACATGGCGTCGGCCCGAGTGAGGGGGTAGAGCGCCTGGGGTTCTGTTTGGACGAGAGTGAGCTGGGCAAGGACGAGATGGTGAAGTCGGGCTCCAGTGGAAGTGGGGGGCGTGGGGAGGGACACAGCAAGCTGTGAGGGTGCCTGTGACCTAGTCACCATCCAGTCAGATCGCCCTGACTTAGGTGTCTGGGCATCAAGGAGCACCAGAATCCCAGGACCCGGCCCATGGGGTCAGGGAAATCCCTCTAGACTCATCCCTTAAGTGGATCTTGTCAGAAGTGTAGGAATGTCGCAGATGAGTTCTGGGAGAGGTTGGCAGCCAGGAGATGGAAGAGGTGGGTCTGTGGGCCTGGCGGCCAAGGACTGAAGGATGGAAGGAGGGATCGGAAGAGAGGGGGCGAGCTCAGCACCCAAGGGTCTGGCCTGGCGACTTCATAACACTGGAGCAGGTCAGTGGGGATGTCGTAGGGGTGAGAGTCCTGGGGGACAGCTAGAAGGCAGCTGAGCTCTTCCTTCCTTCCTTCCTTCCTTCCTTCCTTCCTTCCTCCCTCCCTCCCTCCCTCCCTCCACTCCTCCCTCCCTCCCTCCCTCCCTTCCTCCTTCCCTCCCTCCTTTTCACCTTCCCTCCCTCCCTTGTCACATATTTCTTGCCAGGCCAGTTCTGGGGGCTGGTGGTGGAGGCATAACCAGAGCTGTGGGTGGATACAGGAGTCCCCAGGGCCAGTACAGTTCAGGGACCAGAGTGAGAGGAGGAAGGAGGGAGCAAGTCAGGGATCACCTCACAGTGTGCCAGCCATCTCTGGGTTGGAAAGACCGATGAGCCATGGTTCTCACCTCTGTGAAGCTCCCAGCTAGAGATGGGGCCCACGCTTGGCCTCAGCCCCAGGGCCCAGGGCCCCAGGGTGGATGGAGTGTGCCCTTCCAGCTGGGAGAGGCCTTGCCAAGGAAAGAGAGCACAGGTAGTTCAACTGTCTGGGACCCTCATCACCTGCCCTGCCTTCTCCTCCCCAGGTAAGAGCAAAGAGGCAGAGATTAAGAGAATCAACAAGGAACTGGCCAATATCCGCTCTAAGTTCAAAGGTAGGCTGGAGGCCTAGAGTCCTGGGTCTGAGGGAGGAGGGGCTGGGGGCCTGGACCCCTGGGTCTAAAGGAGGAGGGGCTGGAGGCAGGACTCTTGAGTCTGAGGGAGGAGGGACTAGGAACTGGGATACTTGAGACTTACAGGTATGATCCTTCCTCATTCTGTCTCCCCTTTCCTCCTTCCTCTGGCTCTAGGGGACAAAGCCTTGGATGGCTACAGTAAGAAAAAATATGTGTGTAAACTGCTGTTCATCTTCCTGCTTGGCCACGACATTGACTTTGGGCACATGGAGGCCGTGAACCTGCTCAGCTCCAACAAGTACACGGAGAAGCAGATAGTGAGTCTGGGGAGGAAGGGCTGGGGGCCTGGACTCCTGGGTCTGAGGGAGGATGGGGCTGGAAGTACAGACTCCAGGGTGGGAGGATTGGGGCCTACGATCCATTAACCACAAGCCTCCCAGCCCCACCCCCACCCCCCCCCGCCTTCTCACCCAGGGTTACCTCTTCATCTCGGTTCTGGTGAACTCAAACTCCGAGCTGATCCGGCTCATCAACAATGCCATCAAGAACGACCTGGCCAGCCGCAACCCGACCTTCATGTGCCTGGCCCTTCACTGCATCGCCAACGTGGGCAGCCGTGAGATGGGCGAGGCCTTTGCCGCTGACATCCCACGCATCCTGGTGGCTGGGTGAGGCACTGGGGACCCAGGTGGGGTGGGGTTTGGAATGGAATAGACAAGGCCCAGCCAAGTGCAAGGGTCAGAAGATTGCGTCACCTGCCCAAGGTCTCTAGCCAGGACGTGGGGATAATACGGGGCTTAGATTCTGTTGGCAGCCCAATGGTTCTCTCTCCTCACTGAGCCGACTCAGTGGTGTGACGCAGGCCCCCAACAGATCCAATGGGGGGTGTGTCGGATTAACTGACCTTGAAGATCTAGTATAAAAGAGGTGATAAGCGTAAGTTCTGTTGGCAACAGCCCTCTGGAACTTCTGCATCTCGAGTCATTCACTCAAACATTTGTTGAGCCTCTGTTGTGTGCAGAGTGTTGTGCTGATTGCCAGGAATATAGTCATGACCAGAAATGGACATGGTCATCGTCTTCCCAAGCATTCATGGTCCAGAGTGGGAAATAAACATTGACTGAATAATTGCAGGGTGAAATGTACAGTTCCTCTTGGAACCGTGACGTGGGGCACAGGAGCCCATAAGGACATTTAGTTAGAATCCTGACCTAGTCTGGGGGATCAGGGAGAGCTTCCAAGAGGAAGTGGCATCAGGCTGAGACCTGGTGAGGAGGAGTTGTTGGCTGTGGAGAGGGCAAAGGCATGGAAGGCACTGGGGTCAGCCTGTGTGATCATCCTGAGGCAGGGGGTCATTCGTCAAATATTTTTTGAGTACCTGCAATGTGCTGGGCCCTCTGATGGGTTTGGGGAGGCAGGAAAGAGAAGCAAGGACTATTGTGCCCACCCTCAGGAAGCTTACACCTTACAGGAAGCTTACATGAGAGGATACCCAAAGAGCAAACATATACATAAAAAGTAAGATGAGTTCAGATAGTAATAAATGCTATGAAGAAAACAAAACTGGGTAGTAGGGGGCAACGGGGTGAGAGGCGGTAGAAGCTACTTAGATACACTCATCAGGGAGGGTCTCTCCAAGAAGGTGACTTGTAATTAAGACTGGAATGATGAGAAGATAGTTATTTTAAAATGTTGGGGAGTGTCCGAAGCAAAAGGAGCAACAAGTGCAAAGGCCCTGAGGCATGAGCTTTCTATATTCAAGGAACCAAGAGATACTCTCTGTGGCTGGAGGGCAGTGAACAAGAGACAGAGTAAGGGGAGTTTGGATTTTATTCTAGTTGAAATGGGAGGAGTTGGTGTATTTTAAGTAGGCACGTGACATGATTGGCTTTGTATTTTTATTTATTTTTATTTTTTATTTTTTTAAGATTTTATTTATTTATTAGAGAGAGAGAGACAACAAGAGAGGGGACACAAGCAGGGAGAGTGGGAGAGGGAGAAGCAGGCTCCCCGCCAAGCAGGGAGCCCGATGCAGGACTCGATCCCAGGACCCTGGGATCATGACCTGAGCTGAAGGCTTAACGACTGAGCCACCCAGGCACCCCTGGCTTTGTATTTTTAAAAGATCACTCAGCTTGGTATGGGAGAAAGTACGACTTATATTTCTGGCAACATGGTGGACTCGATCCCTGACTAATGCTCTCGCTGAAACCTAATAATATAGGATAAAAGAGGAAAGGAACTATTCTTCAATGTATTCATGAGCTAGTGAGAGAATTAGGAGCACACAGGCCGCAAGCTAAGAGGGGCCTGGCACCTGGGGAGATGGGCAGAGGGCCAAAGCCAGATTTTGCTTAGAGGGTGAACCCAGATATTTGTCTGGGGGCCCTGCAGCGTCTGGGAACAGGATACAAAGCTTGTCTGAGGAGAGGCTCCAGAAACCACACTTCAAAGTGAGGGTGACCTAGAAATAAATCCCCTTGGGGACTATAAGCAAAATTACCCGTTTCAAACCTTGGCACAGAGCAGCCCACACACTGGTTTTCAGCCTGATTTTTCCCTACCTGGGTTATCTACAAATTCTTAAGCCAAACTTTAGTTGAAAGTGATTTAAGCTAGAGTAGCCCGGCGCCTGACAGAAGCAAGCAGGCCTTTTCTGGAGAAGCCTGCCTTCACCGCAGACGGAGCTCTAAGTCACATGTAACGCCCAGTCAGAAATCACTAAACACAGGCCGCACGGCACCATGAGGGAGAACCAGCAGAAAGGGGACTGAAAGTAACAGCTGAATTGGAATATTCATATAAGATGCGAAATAAATATGTTTAATATGTTTCAGTAACTGAGAAAACAATTTAAAAATAGAAGCGTAAGCAGATTTGAAAAAGAAATGGAGACATTTATTTAAGCGGTTTGGCTTAGCAGCAGGATAGACAGAGCCAAAGCAGAATTAGTAAACAGGAGGTAGAACTGAAGAAAGTAATCAGAATGCAGCCCAGAGAAACAGAGATGGAACATTCCAAGAGAGATTAAGAGTCATGGAAAGATGGAGAAGGTCTAACATAACACTATTTAGAGCATTAGAGGGACGCCTGGCTGGCTCAGGAGGTAGAACGTGCGACTCTTGATCTCAGGGTCGTGAGTTCAAGTCCCATGTTAGGTGCAGGGATTACTCAAAAAACTTTAGAGCTCTAGGAAGAGAGAATATGACAGAGGCGTTGTTTGAACGGATAACGCCTGAGAATGAAAGAGGCTGATCCTCAGAATCAAGTAGCTCAGGCAGAACTGGAGACTGGGGTGGGGATGGCGACAGAGAGACCACTGAGACGTCCACTGCCGTCCAGGTCAGAGCTGACGGGGGCTGGGGCCAGGGGTGTAGCCGTAGAGGTCGTCACTGGGTACGTTCCAGGACAGAAGCCGACGGGACGGATTACCGGGGGTGGGAAAGCAAGAGAGGGTGAGCTCGAATGGGTGGATGACGAAGCCTGGGGAGAAGCAGGGAAGTGAGAGGCAGGCCCTGAGCCGGGTTTGGCAGCGCTGGATGTGAGGTGCCTGGTGGACATCTGGGCAGAAACGTCCAGTAGGTGGCTGGACGGCAGGGAGCTGGGGCCGCAGAGGGAGTGTGGGAGAGACGGGCACAGAGTGACGGGCATAGAACTCGAGCCACACACACCTTCCACGGTTCTGGTCGCCACATCAGACAAAGTAAAAACAAACAGGTGAACCTTCTTTTAATATTTTAATTTAACCCGGTCCATCTAAAATATTTTCATTTTGACACCGGATCAACGTGAAAATTGTCCGATAATTGTCCATGTCATCACCACACGTGAGCGTAACGTACACACATGTTGTCTCTCAGTTTGGATTGGCCTCGCGTCCCGTGTCCATTAGCTACGTGTGGCTGGGGCCACCATACAGGACAGCATGGGATGGATGGTAATAAAGCCGCAGCCGGATGAAGTCCCTCGGGGAAGACATGAGAAGGGATGAGAAGTGACCTAAGGCTAAGCCCCAGGGTGACCCAGTGTGTCCAGGTCTGGCCAGGGAGATGGGAGGGAAATGCAGAGTGGGCTGTGGCTCGGAAGCCGAAGAAACTCCGAGGATGGAGTGGTCAGTCGTGGCAAAACTGCGGCCACCCTGAGCGGGGAGAAGCCAAGAAGGAGGCCAGTATGACAAGACTTATCTGAGCAGAGGTGACACCCAGTTTCACACCAGGGAATGGATGCTGAGGTCTGGGCCAGGCTGGGGTTGTCTGAGCGCTCTGCGGGCCTCTCTTGACACCCGAAACTTGGCCTTGACTGTGACTGGGGCATAGAGCAATATATTTTTTTAGGTAGATTTTTTTTTTTAAATTATGATAAAATTCACATAACATCACGTTCACTGTGTCAACAGTTTACAGTGTACAATTCAGTGGTCTTTTTTTTTTTTTAAAGATTTTATTTATTTATTTGAGACAGAATGAGAGAGAGTGAGCACATGGGAGGGGGGAGGGTCAGAGGGAGAAGCAGACCCCCCGCCGAGCAGGGAGCCCGATGCGGGACTCGATCCCGGGACTCCAGGATCATGACCTGAGCCGAAGGCAGTCGCTTAACCAACTGAGCCACCCAGGCGCCCACAATTCAGTGGTCTTTAGTATATTCACATTGTTGTGCAGCCACCACCACTAATCACCCCAAAAAGAAGCCCGGAACTCCTTAGTAGCTCACGCCCATTGCCTTTCCCTCTAGCTCCAGACAGCCACTCATCTGCTTTGTGTTTCGTTGGTTTTGCCTATTCTGGACATTTCAGATAAATGGAAGCATGCGATACGTGGCCTTTTGTGTCTGGCTTTTCACTCGGCATAACGTTTTCGAGGTTCTTCCATGTTGTATGCAGACGTACTTCTGTCCTTTTTTATGGCCCGGTAATAATATTCTGCTGTCTGGAGGAAGTGTGTTTTAGTTATCCATTCATCAAAAAGGTTCCTTTTGACTCTTGTGAATAATGTGCAAATACATTGTGTGAACTTTGTTTTCAGTTCTTATGGGTAGATGCCTGTGCGCGGAATTGCTGGGTCATGTGGTATCACAGCTTTTTTTTTTTTTTTTTAAAGAAAGTTAACAGTTGAATTCCCCTGTCACGTCCCCTACATCATCTCCATCTTCCCCTCCCTCCCTGTGCCCTGCATTCGATGGTCATTATTCCCACGTACCTCCCTGTCCTTTTATCCTGGGCACACACCCCTGCGTTCCGTAGTTTCAAGCTTTACCTAAATAGTTGCACAGTCTCTGGTTAAGTTAACCAAGGTGATAAATAGCCCTTATTCCTCCATTTGGTGTACCGTGGGCGTTTCCTTACCCATAGCTGGAGGTGATGGTAGGGATCACCTCCCTCGAGGGCTGGAGAAACACCTAGAACAGAGCATGGCCCGGGGTCAGGGCTCGTGCCATGAGCTGTGACGATGGTGAAGACCATTAAGCAGCACCATTCCACTGGTCTCAGATAGACCTTCCACTGGTTTTGGTTTTAAGTTGATGACGGTCAGTCAGCAAACGTTCTCATGCTGTCACCTTCAACATGCACGCGTGCCCGCCCCCAGGGTGGGTGTCCAGGAGCAGCCTCGCTGGGCTTGGTCCGCATCACTCCCAGCGGCACGCCGACCCGGGGTGGCCCCGCTCCTCTTCTGAGGGCCTGTCCCCATGTCTCCTCGAGGGCAGCTGTATCCGAGGCCCGGCTGGCGGAAGGAAACAACGCTGCCTTGTCGCCATTCATGTTTCTCCTGCACATCCAGCGAAATGGCTTTTCACCTGGCCTTTGACTTGTGGAGGTCCCTCCTCCTGGGACTTCCCTCTGTGTCCTTTGCCCAGGCTTCGGTTGGGTCCTCTCCAGGAAACCCTTGACCTGGAGGCCGCAGCCTGGGCGGTCAGGACAGCTCCCCACGCCCCCTCTGTGTCCGAGGCCATGCCAGCTTCCGGTCCACGGTGTCCTTTCTTCACCCCCCAAATCCTCCTTAGGAGGAAACTGCCCGTTGGAGAGAGTCAGTGTCTCCCCACCGGAAGCATGCTCCGCCAGTCAGATCCTCAAGCACGTGCGTCTGGCCCCGGTTCCTTGGTTTTCTTTTTTGTTTTGTTTTGGTTTTGTTTTATTTTATTTATTTGAGAGAGAGAGAATGAAAGACAGAGAGCATGAGAGGGAGGAGGGTCAGAGGGAGAAGCAGACTCCCCGCCGAGCAGGGAGCCCGATGCGGGACTCGATCCCGGGACTCCAGGATCATGACCTGAGCCGAAGGCAGTCGCTTAACCAACTGAGCCACCCAGGCGCCCCAGGTTCCTTGGTTTTTCATGAAGAGATCAATGAGTTCGTCCCGGAGGGTACCTGGCTCACTGCTGGTACATTTCCTGCTGTCACCCCAGTGTTGGTGCTTCCCTGCTCGTCACCGGCAGCGGCTCCGTCCCCCCCCCCCCCCCCCCCTGTAAAAGCAGGATCGTCGCCATGGCCCTCAATGCCCGGCATGGTCTGGCCCCCTGTCCCCCGTCCGATCTCCCGGCTTCTCCCCTCCACTGCTCGCTCACTCACGGCAGCCACACACAGCCCCGCGGCCGCCTCAGGGCCTCCACACAGGCTGTGCCCTCTCCCTGGGATGTGCCGGGCAGAGATTTTTGGGGTTTTCTCATTAAGCTCAGTTTTCCATTCACCTGCCACCTCATCAGAGAGGCCTTCTTGCAAAACAGCGTGCCTGGCCTGCGCTCATTGGCGCCATAGCCCTGACGCCGGGCAGGGTCTGGTGTGTGTGCTGGGGTACGAGCCGCCTGGCTAGAAGGTAAGCTCTGTGAGGACAGACGTTTGGACCAGTCTGTGCGCCCCTGTCTCCACAGTGCCTCCAGCAGAGCCTGCTGCCCACAGGCGCTCAGGAAAGTGTTGGTAAATGAATGAAGGTGCACAGGCAGGCTTGACACTCTGCGTAGTTCTGCCAGTGACCCCAAGGTTACTGAGATGGAACCCATTTTGCAGATGAAAAAAACTGAGGCTTGGTGGGTGATGAGGGCAGCACCAGATTGGATCCCTGGTCCCTCTGGCTCTCTCCACCTGCTGCTAGCCGCCCTTCCTGGGAGGAGCGGTAGAGGAGGGAAGGTCTGTGTGGGGCTGGGGTCGCGCTGACCTCCCCCCACCCAATTGTGTCCCCACAGGGACAGCATGGACAGCGTGAAACAGAGTGCAGCCCTGTGCCTACTACGGCTGTACAAGGCCTCACCCGACTTAGTGCCCATGGGCGAGTGGACGGCCCGGGTGGTGCACCTGCTCAACGACCAGCACATGGTGAGCCCTGGGCCTGGCGCCCGGAGACCCTGGGCTCCTGCCTCCCAGAGCCACCCCCACCAAATCACCCAGAGACCCTTCTGCCTTGGACGCTCATATGGAAGCCCGGGGAGTGTCCCACCCCCGCCCTGATTCCCACCTGGATGCCCAGGGCCCCCCACCTCTGTCCCTGCCTTTACTCAGGCACCTAGAGATCTTGGGCCAGTGTCCTGAGTACCTGTCACCCGCCCAGGTATCCAGAAACCCCCATGTCCTTCCCCGATTAACCCCCCCACCCCCCAGCTGTCCAGGGATCTTGTCCATTGTCCCCAACACCCATCACCCACCCAGCCCTTGAGTCTCTGCTTTCAGATCCACAGCCTGGACACTTGTCACCAGGCTGACCCTCCCCCCACAGCCCTGACCTGCCACTTGTCTGCCTCTGCAGGGTGTGGTCACGGCGGCTGTCAGTCTCATCACCTGCCTCTGCAAGAAGAACCCGGACGACTTCAAGACGTGCATCTCCCTGGCTGTGTCTCGCCTGAGCCGGGTGGGTGTGGTCTTGTCATGGGCTGTGGGAGGTGGCCCTGGCATCTCTGTCCCCTGGAACGACTCCCTGGTCCCCCTCACTCTCCCTCAGAGGCAGCCCCACATGGTGGTTATGAACTCAGCCTCTGAGCTGGGCTCATCCTGGCTCTGCCACTTCCTGGCTGTGTGGCCCCAGACAAGTGGCTTCACTTCTCTGGGCCTCACTGACCCCATCTGTTCAATGGGGACAATACCAGTGCCCAGCTCACAGCGTAGCTGCTGGCAATCAGTCTGTATAATGTCAGTATGGGCCTGGGTGTTGTGAGCACCCAACAGGTGAGAGGGGCTGTCCTGATCTCTTCCCCCTTACCTCACTGTCTCTTGCTTCCTTCTGCATTCCCTGCTGTTCCTCCTGCGTCTCTTAAACCTTTCCCTTCCTGTCCTTCCTTCTGCTCCTCTTACCACCTTTGCCCCTGGGAACAAACCCTCAGGCCACCTGTGTTCCAGGCTCTGGGGACACAGATGAGTCAGACCCGAGCCCTCCAGGAACTCCTTGTCCTGTTCGGGGCGGGGGGGGTGTGGGGGGAGATGCGGCAGGGCAGGCCGACTGGCAAAGCTTTTCATAAAAGAGGTGATCTGGGCTGTCACGGAGGTAGTACAGGGCATTGTAGACCCCAAAGGAGGTACTTACCCCAGCCTGGAAGTCTAGGAAGGCTTCCTGGGAGAGGTGATCCCTGGATGTGAGTATAAACACTTCTTGGGCGGGTCAGAAGAGGCCTGGATTCGCAAGCAAAGAGAACAAACACACCAGCTCATTCAGTCGCTTTGTCATCCATTCACCATACATGTGAATGCTCCCGCGTGCCGGGCTGGTTGGGGAGACACGGACAGGGACACTGGGGGCCGGCACACGCCATCGTGGCATGGTACATGGGAATGCTTCCTGGAGGAGGGATTTCCCAGCTTCAGCAGGAGCTTTCCATAAGGAAAAAAGTCCCGCACTCTTCCTGCTAAGTCCCCACGTCTTCCCCGAACCTTTCTTATGTCCGATCTTGTATTAGGCCTGGGAACCCAGAAAAGGGTCAGAGCCATTTCCTAACCCCTGAGCTGCTTCCAGCCGTGGGGGACCGCTACAGGGACACAAGTCTGCAGCGAGCTGGTGTGATCTATGTTCTGTGGAGGAGCCCAGAGCATTGCGAGGCTCCTGTTTGGAGTAAGGGGCTCACAGAAGGGACTCGGTTGGCAGAGACTTCGCCTCCTGACAGCAGCATTGCATGGAAAAGTCAGGAGCCCTGGCTTAGGTTGCTCGCTGTGTGCTCCAGGCCTCCTCACTCCCCTCCCTGGGCCTCAGATTCCTGCACCCACTTCGGAAGACAGTGTGGCTCTGCCCTGCCCCTGCCCCGTGCCCTTCCCTGTCCATGCCTCACCCCCTCTTCCGCCCCCAGATTGTCTCGTCGGCCTCCACCGACCTCCAGGACTACACCTACTACTTCGTCCCGGCGCCCTGGCTGTCGGTGAAACTCCTGCGACTGTTACAGTGCTACCCACCGCCAGGTACCGCCGAGCCCGCCCAGGCTGGGGCCTGGGGCCTGTCAGGGTTTCTGTGAGGCTGTAGGTGTTGGGGGGCAGCCCAAAGAATCGGACAGATCATCGTGCCTTGTGGATCTGCTGTGGGCCAGGGTCCCTGTGAAGCCACGCTTTTGTTTGCTCCAGCCCTGTAACAGAGGGACTCTTGTCACGCCTGCCTTATGGGTGACAAAAGCAAGGCTGGGGGAGGGGAGGTCCTTGCCCAGGGTCCCCAAGATCCCCAGCAGATCAAGGGATGATTCCAGGCTGTGCTGTTTGAATGAGCATAGCTCTGTGCGAGATTTTCATGACCTTATTGCTCAAGGTCACAGCGATCGTGGGGATGATGAGCCTAGCATGAGCCAGGTAACGCACCGGGGGCGTCTGTGCCCTCTGACAGGGCTAGCGAGGGGGAGCCATCCCTGCAATATGCAGACAGGGAGCCTGAGGCTTGGAGATGAGACGTCACGTTTCCAGGCCCAGGCAGCGACTAAGACAGAGCCTGATGCCAGCATCTGGATCCAAGTCCCTCCCTCTACCCCATAGGCCCTGGCTCCCCCTGAGCTCCCATTTCCTCAGCTGTCTGACCTCATAGAGCAGTTTGGAGGGACCCCGTGCTGAGGTGCTCAGCACACAGTAGGTGACTGATAAACCAGCTCCCTTCAGTTCAGCCAGGGCACCGAGCACCTGCTGTGGTCAGGGCCTGCGGTGTGGCCCTGAGTGTTCACATGCAGCTGTGCACAAGCATGTGCGTGCGCACACGTGCGTATCTATGAACGCATGACTGCGTGTGCACGTGTGTGTATGCGCGTGCACGCACTAATTGACTGTATAATGGAAGTGACGCCAGGGGCCCTTCCCAGCCCGTGAAAGCCAGTGGTGAATTTTGTCACGTGGCCTTGCGAAAGCCTTGTTCCCCTTCTGGGCCCTTCTCACCCTGTAGGGAAGAGCTCGGGCACATCTGTAAGCTCACTTGCATCGCAGGAGTCCCGCCTCATCATTTGGGGTTGTGCCCAGAGCGGGCACCTCGCCTACTCTCACCCTCTGCGTCATCGGAACTACAGCCGTGGCCCTGAGCAAACAGTGCTGGCCCAGCGAGGCCATCTCCGATTTATCTACGAGAAATTTTTCCGATGCCCTATTATGAAAAGTTCTCCAACGTCCAGACAAGTCGAGCGCACCCATCACCCAGACTTCACATTTTGCTGTGCATGCGTGCTCTCAGTTTGCTCTTTTTTTCCTGAAGTGTTTAAAAATGAGTTAGAGACATCATGATGTTTTTACCTTTGAATATCTTGGTGCACATTTCTAAAAACTGTGGGCGCTTTTATTCACAGCAGCAATTCTGTGGTCATGCTTGAAGCTCGCAACAGCTCCCCAGGGGTCTCCAAGACCCACTGTGGATTTTCCTAATTAGCCCCATAATACTCACAGGCTGTTCAGCCTGGGATCCAATCAAGATACAAGTATTTTTTTAATTTTTTTTTTTAAGATTTATTTACTTATTTTAGAGGGAGCAGGGGGAGGGGCAGAGGGAGAGAGAGAAGCTGACTCCCTGCAGAGTGCGGACCCCAGTGCAGGGCTCGATCTCATGACCCTGAGACCATGACCTGAGCTGAAATCAAGAGTCAAACGCCTAACCAACTGAGCCATCCAGGCGCCCCTCAAGATACAAGTATTGAGGGAGGCTTGGCTGGCTCAGTCAGTGGAGCACCCGTCTCTTGATCTCAGGGTCATGGCTTCGATCCCCACATTGGGCACAGAGATTACTTAAAAATAAAAATTAAAGAAAAAAAAGAAGAAGAAAAAGATACAAGTGTCGAATATAATTATTTCTCATAAAGCTCTGTCTTAATCTGGAAGAATTGCCCCTTTATTCTGTGCCATTGGCTTTCACCCCACCTTTTTTTTTTTTTTAAAGATTTTATTTATTTGACAGAGAGAGACACAGCGAGAGAGGGAACACAAGCAGGGGGAGTGGGAGAGGGAGAAGCAGGCTTCCCGCGGAGCAGGGAGCCCGATGCAGGGCTTGATCCCAGGACCCTGGGATCATGACCTGAGCTGAAGGCAGACGCTTAACGACTGAGCCCCCCAGGCGCCCTTCACCCCACCTTTTTATTATGAAAAATTTCAAACAGATCACTTGCAAGAACAGTGTCATGAACACGCAAGGCCCCTGAGACCCAGCGGAGACCATGAACGCTGCTCTTGGCGCCCCAGTTGGCTTGCTGTCTCAAACACACACTTACTTGCTCCCTTACTTGACATAAGTTGCAGACATCATAATGCTCCGCCTGCCCAAAATACACCCACACACATTTCATGAGACCCAAGAACACTGCACAAAGCCACAGTGCCCTTGTCACACCTGAGAAGATTCAAGATCACAGTGTCAGCTGCTGTCCAGGCACCATCCACACCCTGCCCACTGTCCAAGCTTTATTTGTATGGCGTAAACAAAACACAGTACAATTGAGGGCCACGACTTAGATTTCATTATGTCTTTGTCCGTTTTGGGGGTCTGGAATAGTCCTTCCCCCCCCCATCCCACTACCTGTTTTTGAAGAAACCGGGACAGTTTGGCATTGCAAGGGTGTCCCGCATTCTGGATTTGGCTCAGAGCTGCCTTGTGTCCTGTAGTTCATCCCTCTACCCCGAGAGCCGCCTGATACATCCGGGTGTGACATTTTCCTCTAGAACACTTGACAGCCGTTCTATGCACATGGTGTTACCTCGCACCCCACGGAATGGCAGTTATTGGTGTTGGTGTGAGCCCCTGGTTGGCATGTATCTGTCTCAGGTGCTCAGACTGCTGCTCGGGGAGACCCCGGTTTCACAGTGTCTCTGGGGAAGGTTTCTTTGCCCTGTGAGAAACCTAAAGGGTATCAGTGCTGCAGAAGGGGAAACTGAGGCTCACAGGTGGCAGTCAGCGCCGAGCAGGACAAGAGCCGAGGTCTGGAGTGTTCTCTTTTGTGGGCCCGCTGCCACCTCCCCAGTCACCTAGAGACCGAGGACGAGCTTGAAGGATCAGAGACCCCAGCCCACAGCTGCAGGGCCCACACTTCCTGTGGAAGATGAGAGCCCTGGGGTGGCCCCTTGCCCCGCACATGGGCAGGGCTGACAGAGCTTATCCTGGAACATGCCCTCCATTTCCCCAGAGGATGCTGCCGTGAAGGGGCGGCTGGTGGAGTGTCTGGAGACCGTGCTCAACAAGGCCCAGGAGCCCCCCAAGTCCAAGAAGGTCCAGCACTCCAACGCCAAGAATGCCATCCTCTTCGAGACCATCAGCCTCATCATCCACTACGACAGGTGCCTGCCTGGGGGGCTGGGGGCCCAGGGGCCCGGGGGCCTGGACTCCTACGTCCTAGGATAATAGTGCTGGGAATCGTGACTTCGAGATAGGAGGATGATGAAGCTGTGAATTGTTACCTCCCCAGAGTGGTGCTGGACCCCTCCTGGAAAAAGCAGAATTCCCGACTCTCTTCATTTGGGCCCAACGGCCCAGATGTCTGGGTCGCCAGGAGTGGTCATGATGGGAACGGAGGGCAAGAGTTAAGACTCAGGTCCTGAAGGTGATGTGGGATGGGTCAGCTGGGCCCATGTCCTCCACCTTCTCACTTCCCCCCGTTTCTGCTTCTTGTTGGCAGTGAGCCCAACCTCCTGGTGCGGGCCTGTAACCAGCTGGGCCAGTTCCTGCAGCACCGGGAGACCAACCTGCGCTACCTGGCCCTGGAGAGTATGTGCACGCTGGCCAGCTCCGAGTTCTCCCATGAGGCGGTCAAGACCCACATCGACACCGTCATCAATGCTCTCAAGGTACGCCACGTTGGAGCCTGCCCCAGGCCACGCCCTGCACGCTGGCCTGTGTCTCTGCTCCCTCAGAGAGGTGCAGGGCTCAGAGGCCATTGCAGAGCCTAGAACATACCGCACCTGCTCTCCTCCCTCAGACGGAGCGGGACGTCAGTGTGCGACAGCGGGCCGCTGACCTCCTCTATGCCATGTGTGACCGGAGCAACGCCAAGCAGATCGTGTCAGAAATGCTGCGGTACCTGGAGACGGCGGACTATGCCATCCGTGAAGAGATTGTAAGTTCCGGGAGGGGCTGAGCACCTGGACTTCTGGATCTCAGGGAGGAGGGGCTGGGGGCTGAGCCTCCTGGGGTCTCCGGATGGGGACAGTGGTGAGGCCAGACCTGGTTATTCCAGTTTGACTGTCGTGTGCACACACTCACACCTGTCCTCCCTCCCGGCTGGCAGGTGCTGAAGGTGGCCATCCTGGCCGAGAAGTACGCAGTAGACTATAGCTGGTACGTGGACACCATCCTCAACCTCATCCGCATTGCGGGCGACTACGTGAGTGAGGAGGTGTGGTACCGTGTGCTGCAGATCGTCACCAACCGTGATGACGTCCAGGGCTACGCTGCCAAGACTGTCTTTGAGGTCAGCACCCCCGCCTCACCCCCACTTCACCCCTACAGTGGGACAGTGAGGCAGAGCAAGGACAGCTGGGGCTGTGGGGCCAGCCCGCCGTGGCCACCGTCCTGCTCCCACCTCCTCAGAGCGGTGCCTTTGGGCCACCAAGGGACCTGGGCGCCGGGTCCTCACAGGCCAGTGTGAGGGTCAGCGGGCCGTGGGTGTGGGCCATCCAGTGCGTAGCCATCGATCTGCATGTCCCAGTGGTTTCCCACTCCTCCGGCCCCAGGAAAGGGGGCCCGTGCCACCGATTTTACCACCTGTGTGAGCAGAGGCCAGTCACTTAACTAGTCCGTGCCTCAGTTTCCCCACCTATTATTCCACCCACATCATAGCGTTCATGAGTTCCACAAGTTAATGGGCGTCACGGGCTTAGCCCTGCACCTGGCACCGCTGAGCAATCCTAAGTCAGGGCACACCGCTCCCGGCTGCCCTCACCCGCCCCGTCCCTGCCTCCAGGCGCTCCAGGCCCCCGCCTGCCATGAGAACATGGTGAAGGTCGGCGGCTACATCCTCGGGGAGTTTGGGAATCTGATTGCTGGGGACCCCCGCTCCAGGTGAGGCGGTAAACACATGCACTTCTGAGGGGTGCGGGGCTGGTGGTGATGGGGCCCCCGGGGATCCTCTCAGCCCCTCGCACAACCGTCCGGTGGTTGCGAGACAACCCAGCTCCCAGGAGCCTCTGGGACAGAGCGCTGCGATGGCCACCGCCCTGGGTGGCCTCTGCTGGGGCGGCACCCCCGGGAGGAGGCAGGGGAGCCATGTGCTGACGCCCCTCCACCCTCCCCAGCCCCCCAGTGCAGTTCTCTCTGCTGCACTCCAAGTTCCACCTCTGCAGCGTGGCCACCCGGGCCCTGCTGCTGTCCACCTACATCAAGTTCATCAACCTCTTCCCGGAGACCAAGGCCACCATCCAGGGCGTGCTGCGGGCTGGCTCCCAGCTGCGCAACGCTGACGTAGAGCTTCAGCAGCGCGCCGTCGAGTACCTCACGCTCAGCTCGGTGGCCAGCACGGATGTCCTGGTCAGCGCCGCGGCCCCCGCGTGCCCCTCCTCCACCCCTGCGCCTTGGCCGCCCTCTCCCCTGCCACCGAGCTGCCCCCGACCTGCTCTCGCCCTCTGACCCCACAGGCCACGGTGCTGGAGGAGATGCCGCCCTTCCCAGAGCGGGAGTCGTCCATCCTGGCCAAGCTGAAACGCAAGAAGGGGCCCGGGGCTGGCAGCGCCCTGGATGATGGCCGGAGGGACCCCAGCAGCAATGACATCAACGGGGGCGTGGAGCCCACCCCTAGCACTGTGGTGAGTCCCAGGGGCTGGGCCATCGGGGCTGGGGCCGCCGGGTGCTATCCCTTCTCACCTCCCCCTGCACCTCCCTGCAGTCGACGCCCTCACCCTCTGCCGACCTCCTGGGGCTGCGGGCAGCCCCTCCTCCAGCCGCACCCCCAGCGACCTCGGGTGCAGGGAACCTCCTGGTGGACGTCTTCTCCGACGGCCCGGCTGCCCAGCCCAGCCTGGGGCCCACCCCCGAGGAGGCCTTCCTCAGGTACCGCCGGCCCGGGCCCCCGGGCTGCCCCTTTTCCGTCTGCCCCCTCACAGCCCCCTCCTCCCTCCCTGTCCCTGTGCCTCTGTCGCCGTGGCTGCCACTTCCCCCGGCCTCCTCTCTCCCTCTGGCCACTCTGGACTCTTGGCTGACCCTGGCCACCCTGTGTCGTCCTTCCCCCTTCGCCATGTCTCAGCCTGCTCTTCCTTCTCTCTTTCCCTCCTCCCTCTTTCTCTCCCCCCCCCCCCCCCCGCCCTCTGCTGCCTCTCTGGGATTGGCTGCCTGCCACACCTGTCTTCTCTTGTCTGCTCTGGGATTGGATGGCCCAGCGAGCTGGAGCCGCCTGCCCCTGAGAGCCCCATGGCTTTGCTGGCTGACCCAGCTCCAGCTGCTGAGTAAGGGGTGGCCTCAGGGTTGGGGGGCAGATCTGTGTCCCCAGGGAGGGTTAGGGGACTTCAGGCTCTTATCAAGGGGTTCCTGATGAGCTGCAGAGGCAAGGATTTGGAGGGGAGTGAAAGTCGGGGTCCTCTGACGTGGGGCAGGGGTGGTGGTACACACCAGAGTCCTATTCCCATTAGAGGCAATCGCCAGTCTGATTCTGGGGTTCTTTGTGGGAATCTGGGTCTGTGGATTCTGGGGTTCTGTCCTTTGAGGGGTTACTGTCTCCCACCTTTAGCTTGGGTCTTCTCTAGCCCCCCAACTTCTTCCCGTCTCACTGCTTTCCCCACCTGCAGCCCAGGTCCTGAGGACATCGGGCCGCCCATCCCAGAAGCCGATGAGCTGCTGAATAAGTGAGTCATGGGAAAGATCAGGAGGGAATGGGGACAGGTGGGGAGCACTGAGACGGGCCCAGACAGGCACCCCTGGCATCCTGAACTCCCTGCCGCCCCCACCTAGGTTCGTGTGCAAGAATAATGGGGTCCTGTTTGAGAACCAGCTGTTGCAGATTGGAGTCAAGTCGGAGTTCCGGCAGAACTTGGGTGCGTCCGGAGGGGGGCAGTGTGGGGATAGGGTTTCGGGGACACCTGGGTTTGGGTGGCATCTGGAGAGGAGGTTGAAGGAAGTCAGATGGAGCCCTGCCCCTCCCCACCCTCTGCAGGCCGTATGTATCTCTTCTATGGCAACAAGACGTCCGTGCAGTTCCAGAACTTCTCGCCCACTGTCGTCCACCCTGGAGACCTCCAGACTCATATCCTCCCGGCCTGGCCCAGCCCCCTCCCCCGAGCCCTGACCCTCCCGGTCTGCCTTCCTGGCCACTGGGAAGCAGATGGACCCAGGTCCAGAACCCTGTTCAGTCTTCTTGAGAACCCGCGTTACTTGTTTGAGATACAGTGTCGTCTGTGAGACGGGTGGGCCTCTTCTCCCCAGGACAGCCTGAGGACAGTGAAGTGATGGGATAGGTGTGTCTGTTTGTCCCTGTCAGGCCTCTTCCATGTCCTGACCTTGTCCTCCACTGGGCTTCACACTCACGATTCCATTGCCTCCTGCATTCAAGAGCCAGGCCTGCAGGTCTGGATGCTGAGCAGGGCCTTCTTTGTGATCTGAGCCAGTCACTTGTCCCCTGTCTGAAGTGTAGACCCTCTTCCTTCTCATAGCGTTGTGAAGGTCAGTGTGGTTGGAAAACTCTGGAAGGGTGGCTGGCATAAAGGAAGGTGTCAGTCCTCCTTTCCCTGTCATTTCACGCCCACGAAATGACAGGGGTTAGGCCCCAAAGCTTTGAGGACCTTTTCAGTCCTTTGCCTCATTCAGCCAGCCCTCATCAACATCTCCAGAACTCCAGGCAGGCTCAGCTCTGTGCTGGGCATGGGTGGGGGACAGGGGCGGGAGATGCCTAAGACCCCACCCTTGTCAGCTTGAAGGTAGATGTAATAACGCTGCCGCCATTTTTGGTGCCCTGACCGTGTGCCAGACACACGAACAAGTGAGCGTGCCGGATTATTTCACTGAATGCTGAGGACACTGTGTCATTTTGCAGCTGAGGCTAAGAGGTAAAGTAGCTTGCCCAGAGTCCCAGGGGTGGTAAGATCCAGGATTCAAACTCAAGTCAGCCATCCCAGCCCCGGAAGGGCTTCTGCCCTAATACGGTGTGACACGTGCCATAATGGAGGTCCCTGCGCCCATCATGAAAGGCCGGAGTAGGCACCCAGGGGGGTGGCCGGAGGTCTCACTTAAGGGCTTTGAAGTTTGGGCCTTGCACGATGCGCCCGGGAGGGCAGGCCCGGCTTCTCAGTGGCCTGCGGGCTGGGGTTCAGAACCAGCAGGGGTTCGTGGCCAAGACCGCGGAGGGGAGGGGGGGTCGCCACCTCGCTCCGGCTTCCTTGACCCCCGGCGGCTACAGCTGGCAGTGCAGACCAAGCGCGTGGCCGCGCAGGTGGACGGCGGGGCGCAGGTGCAGCAGGTGCTCAACATCGAGTGTCTGCGGGACTTCCTGACGCCCCCGCTCCTGTCCGTGCGCTTCCGGTGAGTCGGGCGGGGCCCTGCTGAGCGGCCGTGGTCTCCTGAATGGGGGCCGGGCTCTGATGGAGCCTCCTTGCTCCCGCCCCCATGCCAGGTACGGGGGCGCCCCCCAGTCCCTCACCCTGAAGCTCCCGGTGACCATCAACAAGTTCTTCCAGCCCACGGAGATGGCGGCCCAGGATTTCTTCCAGCGCTGGAAGCAGCTGAGCCTGTGAGCAGTGAGGGGGTGCCGAGCCGCACCTGCACTTCAGGGGGGCGGGGCGGGGCCTTCCAAGCACCTGACCCGAACCTTTCCCCACCCCCAGTCCCCAACAGGAGGCGCAGAAAATCTTCAAAGCCAACCACCCCATGGATGCAGAAGTCACTAAGGCAAAAGTGAGTGACCACTGGGCGAGACAGGAGAGGGGCCCCTGGACTCACAGCCCAGGCCGACCTCTCCCTAACTGGGGCTTGGGGAGCGGTACCCATTTTTCCGTGCCTCAGCTTTCCCATCTGTAAAATGGGAATCACAAAGGTCTCAGGGGAACCCCGGTTTGCTACTGCCCGGTGGCTCCCAGATCTGGCACCCTCTGACGGCTACCCTTCTTCCCCAGCTCCTGGGGTTTGGCTCTGCTCTCCTGGACAATGTGGACCCCAACCCTGAGAACTTCGTGGGGGCTGGAATCATCCAGACTAAAGCCCTGCAGGTGGGCTGTCTGCTCCGGCTAGAGCCCAATGCCCAGGCTCAGGTGAGTGGTGGTCTGGGAGGTGCCCCTGAGACTGACTACCCCCTGCCTCAGTGTGCTCGTTTTTAATCCTGCCCTTCTGCTCTTTGTCCCTGTGTTCTCTATCTACTGTCTTCCTCGCCACATCCTTTTCCACCCTTCTGGGTCTCACTTTTACCCTTCACCCTCTCCCTCCTGTGTTGTTTTTATTCCTGCCTCCTTCCATCACCTTTCTGATCCCTTTCTCCTTTTTTCTCCTTTATCTCCCTGTATCCTCCTCTCCCGGGCTCTCTGTCCACTCTGCCTCCTCCCTGAGTCTGCACCGCCATGTCCCCCACCCAGATGTACCGGCTGACCCTGCGCACCAGCAAGGAACCTGTCTCCCGTCACCTGTGTGAGCTGCTGGCCCAGCAGTTCTGAGCCCTGGACTCTGCCCCCCGGGGATGTGGCCGGCGCCGGGCAGCCCCTAGGACTGAGGCAGCTTTGGTGGATGGGGCAGCGAGGGGACCTCCACTGGTGACAGGGAAGACCCCAGGGGTGGGGGGACGCCTGGAACCTTTCTCTGGCCTTTTGTATTTTTATTTTTGTTCATCTGCTGCTGTTTACATTCTGGGGGGTAAGGGGGAGCCCCCTCCCTCCCTTTTCCCCCCTAAGCACAGAGGGGAGAGGGGCCAGGGAAGTGGGCGCCTCCTCCCCTCCCACCCCACCCCATCGTAGCCCCTCCTGCCCCCCCATCCAGGGGCTGTGTATTATTGTGAGCGAATAAACAGAGAGACGCTAATAGCTGTGTCTGTGTGACCGGCTCACGGCCAGGGGTCAGAGGAGTGGGGTGAGGGCATGCAGTGTGTGGGTGGCCAAGCCCCGCAGCGCGTGTGTGGGACTCTGGGCGGACAGCAGTAGCAGCCGCCGCGGCCCCGACTGCAGAGCCACCAGCCGCCATCCCGTGCCTGGCTCCTCGGGCCCGGACACCAGGTAGCAGGCTCTCGGCACCTGGCTCCTCTGGGCCGCATCCTCCACCTTCTCCTCTGGTGACCCCGGCTCTGGAGGAAGGAAAGGAAGGGCCAAGGTGACCAGTGGGGCCCAGACAACTAGAATGCCAACCTGCAGGAGCAACACCACACCCTGAGCCTAAGTCTGACTCCTGACGGGCAAGGGCCTCATGGCTCCAGCCAGCTGTCAGTTGCCTGAAGAAGGACATGGACCTTCTCCCCCTTCTTCCCAGCCAGCCTCCATCCCCCCTCCCTCCTGGGGATGCTCTGTGCAGCCCTGGACAGTCCGCTTAGCAATACAGATCACAGACATGCAGGTATACTGACCAGGTACCAGGCACTGGACTCCAGGCACAGCCCTTGGAACCCTCCGAGGGAGGGGGGGGGAGCCTCTGCCCCACTTTATGCGGGGAAGGTGGGGGAGGTGGAGTCAGGCAGCTAGGAGGGGCCAGTCCTCTGTCCCTCCTTTGTCTCCCTAGGGCCTCAACTTTTCCTTCCTCATCTAGGCTCTGTGGAACACCCCCCATCAGTGTGGATGCCCCCGTCCTCCCTTGTGTGAGCGGACACTCGGTGTCCCAGGAGTGCGCAAAGGGGGCACACCTGGTGGGAAGTGCGAGGCGGTGACCAAGGTGTAGAAGGCGCGCAGGAGGCGCCGACGATGCTCAGGAGAAGGCTCTGGTTGGGGGGAAGAGAGGGTGACAGAGAGCCCCTCCTGGGCCCAAGCTCCTCCCGGCCTCACCCTCCTCTCAGTCACCTTGATCCGCAGAGGGCTCCACCGTGAAGAGGCAACGTTTCAGTTCCAGGTGGAGAAGCAGCAGCCTGTGAGAAAGGGGGTGTCATGGCCAGGGCAGAGGGGATGAGGACCCCCCAGACCACACCCCCGTCCAAGCCCTACCCGAGGATGTCCATGTGCAGGGGGAAGCCAGCGGGCAGCGCTCGAGGTCCCAGCGGCACGCAGGCCCGCAGCGGGTCTAGCACTGGCTGCCACCAGCGATCCAAAAGCTGAGGCGAGGCCGGTGGGTGAGGTCAGGGGCGGGTACCAGGGAAGGGGGCGTGGCCAGGGAGGAGAGGCGGGGCCCACGAGGGCGGGAGGCCGAGGGGACCAAGGAAAGGGTGAAGCCTGGAAGGATGGAATGAGAGCGATAGAGGGACGGGGCTGGCGGGAAGGTGATTGGAACGCAGTCCGCGGGGGGCGGGCCCTGGTGGGGGGGCGGGGCTGACGAGGGGCGGGCCCAGAGTGGAGAACGCTGGCAGGGCGGGGTGCTGAGAGAAGGGCCGCGGCTGGCGAGCGGAGCGTGTCATAGGGGAAAAGCGGGGACATGGGCCGGATTCACCTGCGGATCCAGCTGGCTGAGGGGAGGGCGCGGCCCGCAGAGCAGACACAGCTCCAAGCCCGGCAGCAGCGTCAGGGTCAGAAGCCGGTGCGGGACCTGAAGGGGGCCGCAGCAGGGGCTGGCCGGAGCTCCGCCCCTTCCCGCCGAAGCCCCGCCTCCTCGCCTCCCGGCCTCTAGGCCCTTTGCTCCCACCTGTCCCAGGCGCCCCGACCCCCCCCAACTCACCGTGGGACTCCCGTGCGGCAGGTACACCGGATAGTCTCGAGCTGCCTGCGGCGGCAGGGACCCCACCAGCCAGGGGAGCAGCACGGCCTCCGGCGTCCCCAGCCGCCACCAGCTTTCTGTTGCTGCCACCACCCGGCCCGACACGACCAGGCTGCCAAAGGCCGTGCCCGCCGCTTCGGCGAACCCAGAGAGGGCTTCCTGGGTCAGGAGACATGAGCAGGGGCGGCAGTGACTTCCCAGGTGGGCGAGGAGTGTGAAGAGACGGGCATACAATTCAGAGTTTGCCTAGTGGCATGCTCACGTGCCTCACCCTCCCTGGGCCTTCACCTTCACACACAGGTACCATCCCCGAGTCACACTGTAAAGTTAAACAGGTAGGGTGGCTGCTCCCTAGCCTGACACGTGTTACTGAAGCTAATAATCACAACAGCCGCAGCTGCGGTTTATTGAATCCTCCCCTGTGTCAAGTAGGCGCAATCAACCACCTACTCCAGCTAGGAGAGGTCGAGTCGTCAGCTCCTAGTCACATCATGAGAGGTGGCCATGCCAGGGGCATCAACAAGAGCGGTATTTAAGGAAAGATAGATGGAAATTCACCAGCAAAAGGAACAGCATGTGCCAAGCAAGGAAGCTGGGAAGTTGTTGGGGTCCGTGGGACCCCTGAGGCAGCTGGGTGAAGGTGGACTGTGGAGTTAGCAGAGGTCAGGGTGAGCATGGTGGTGGGTTTCAGATTCCACAGGTCCTCAAACACCAGGCTGCGGGGACGGGAGCTTGTCCTGGGGGTGATGGAAGCCATGGGAGGGCTGTGAGCTGGAGAGGGGTGGGGTCAGTTCTCCGTGTAGAAAGACCCTTCTGGGGCCAAGTGGGGGTTGGAATGGAAGCCCAAAGGAGGAGAAAAGGTCGAGGCAATGATCCAGGGGTAAGAGGATGAGGACCGAGCCAGGGCCAGTGACAGGTTTAAGGGTTCCCAACACATTCTCAGTACCTGCAGGAGAGACCCCTCTGGAGGAACCACGCAGTCCACACACTGGGTCAGGTCCCCGATGAGCTCAGAGTCCCCCAGGAAACTGTCAATGAGGCGGTAACTGGCCTAGCAGGAGGAGGAGGGAGGAGCTTAGGACCCAGGTGGGCCCCAGATCTGCTGCCTCCCCTTCAGAAAACTAGCCCTGCTGGGCCTGGCTCTAGAGTCAGTGACCAGGCTGCCCCAGGGGCTCCTGGGAACTGTAGTTTCCGAATATCAGTGACCTGGGATCCTAACTTCCACGCTCCCATCCTGCAGCCTCACCCTCAACTCCTTCTTCAGTCTCTCTACGTTGCGGATATTGGTCAGTTCTTCGAGTCCTACAAGAAGAACCTAGAAGAACCAAGTAAGAGAGCCGGGGCTGGGTATGGATCTGGACTCCTGGTGTGAGGGAGAAGGATGCTGAGAGCTCAGATTTCTGGGTTTGGGGAAGAGGGCTGGGGAGTCTCACCATGGCCCCAAACACCATCTGGAGTAGTCTCTCCAGCCTCAGCTCCGAGGTGCCCTCCTCAGATGACAGAACAATGAGGGTGATGCTGTGAGAAAGGAAGGTGAGAAGGAAGAATGAGTCCAGGCCAGGCAAACAGGGCCGTGAGGAGAGTAAAGTCTGCCCTTGATCCTGGATGCCAGCTACATCTTTTGCCAGCCAGCATAACCTGCTTCTCATACAGAGAAACTTAGGGATCGGAGAGGGTAACTGGCTTGTTGAAGATTCCACAGCCAAGTAAACAGCTGGCCTTGGAGAGCCCGTAGGCCTCAGGGTCATCTTCAACAGGGGCCATCACCCAGGCCCTGGCCCTGCCCCAAAAGCTACAGCTTGGAGACCTGTCATGGAAGCTTTTCCACACCACGGTCGTATCCTCCGTCCTTGCAGAGCTCAGCTGCACCTCGAGATTCTGCCCAAACATGTGTACTCCATTGAGGGAACCGATGACAGAGAACGGGAGCTGGGGAAAAGTTGGGAACATTAGACAGGAGCCCAGTCCCCTCCACCTTGGAACCCAAGTGTCCAGGGCCCCAGCCCCCTCCTCTTTCTATATCCCCTGGCCCCTCCTCCTCTGGGAACCAGGATTATTAGTGCAGTCATTGCACCCTTGGCCCTCTAAACTCAACTCTGAAACTTCTCCAGACCCTACTCCCTTGACGACACAGAGTCCAAGGGCCTAGCCCATTTCTATTTTGAAGATCCAGGGGTCCAGGGCCCCACCTGCTGGCGGGCGGGGGCGCCGCCGCGGCTGCTTCTGCAGAATAAGGGGACTCCGCTGGTGGCCGCAAGGCAAAGCAGATGTACGGTGCCCTCTGTCCCCTCCTCGCCCATCTGGAACCCCCTCCAGTCCCCTCGTGGGGGCAGTCAGTGACCACCTTGGCGTATGCCCGTAGTCACACCAAGTCGGGCGGCCGGTCGGCCGTCCGAAGCCGCCAGAGGGCGAGATGGGGAGCTGATTGGAAGAGAAGTAGATTTCCCGCCTTCTTCATCCAACTCAAACCCACCCTCAGTCTCTATTCCAGCACCTCCCCAAGCCCCATTAGGTTCTCTTCCGCCTCAACCGGAAGTCACCTGCCCCTAACAAAGATGGCGCCCATCGTGCGTGTAAAACTTCGTAGTTTCCCCCTAATGTTTTGATTCCATTTATTTAAAGAAGAGAATGAAGAGCCCGGCTTGAAAGCAGTGACCGCGCCGAGGCGTTGTCTAGCAAGCGACAGGTAGGCTAGGATGTTTTACATTCTAAATTGATAAACAGCTGTGCCCCACTCAAAGATGGTGGCGGGGGGGGGGCGCCGAGGCGTTGCCTAGCAACCACTTTCCGTCTAATTTCCAGTCTAAGGCTGCAGAGAGCAGTGCCCGACTCCAAGATGGCCGCATGACGAATCTCGAGCAGATCCCAGAGAAATACCATCTCCCCCTTCACCCTCGCGGGATGGTTTGGTCCGGCCACTGTTGCCTAGCAACCACCAAAGGAGCCGGTTGTTTTTGTTATTAGAAAAAGAAAGATGAAATCCTTTATTTTCCAGAATCATAAAAACAAGATTATTTCTGTCATAAATTTATACATGTTCGTGCAGCATGCTGAACGTGAAAATACTCCTTCCCAAGCCCTTTCCCGAAATAAAAATTTGACAGTTTAACACAGAACATTCACAGATTTTTGACAAATACGATCACGGGTGCTAATGTTGCCTTCAAACTTTTTCTCATTAGACCAAATAAATATATGTTGTTTTTTTAAAATGTCTTTTTATAATCAACATTATGCATGTAACAAAATCGATTTAGCCAGTCCTGTATTGACATACATTAGTTTCCTTCCTCTGTGTGTTTAAACTGATAAAGTAAAATTTCATTTAGTTGTGAATTTAATCAGCTAGAACTTTTCTATTTTGTGAGAATATGGCCTTCATTCACCCAAATGTATTTGTGAAATATATAGTAATGTTAAAAAACATGTTTCCTGGGCGCCTGGGTGGCTCAGTTGGTTGGGCGACTGCCTTCGGCTCAGGTCATGATCCTGGAGTCCCGGGATCGAGTCCCGCATCGGGCTCCCTGCTCGGCGGGGAGTCTGCTTCTCCCTCTGCCCCTCCCCCTCTCATGCTCTCTCTCTCTCAAATAAATAAATAAAATCTTTAAAAAAAAAAAACATGTTTCCTTTCAGACATGTTTTGCCTGCATTCTAGATTTGATTTTTTTTTTTTTTAAGATTTATTTATTTATTTTAGAGAGAGAGCATGAGCAGGAGGGGCAGAGGGGAAGAATCTCCAGCAGACTCTCCGCTGAGCCCACAGCCCAACAAGGGGCTCCATCTCTCAACCCTGAGATCATGACCTGAGCCAAAGTCCAGAGTCAGACAACCCTTAACTTACTGAACAATCCAGGTGCCTCTCTCTAGATTTGATTTGTAACAGCTGATAATATTAGGATGTTTATCCGCACACTAAATTGCATCAAACTTTTAGAGGAAGAAATGTACACAAAATAGCAAATGAGTAGGGAGGCACCTGGCTGATTCAGTCTGAGGAGCCTGCAACCCTTGATCTTGGAGCAATGAGTCTGAGCCCCACTCAGACTGGGTTGGGTGCAGAGATTACTTTTTTAAAATGAGTTCGGAATGCCTGGGTGGCTCAGTCAGTTGGACATCTAACTCTTGATTTTAGCTCAGGTCATGATCTCAGGGTTGTGGGATCGAGCCCCGAATTGGGCTCTGGGTTCAGCATGGAGCCTGCTTGGAATTCTCTCTCTCTGCCCTACCCACCTGCTCACATGCTCTCTCTCTCTCTCTAAAATAAATAAATCTTTTTAAAAATGAAGTAAAATCTCAATTTCTCCCTGTAGTTTTATGAATTTTTCTTTAGTCCATTTATATTTATTATGACTACTGATATATTTGGATTTATTTCTACCATTTTATTTTTATATTTCTTATCGTCCTGCCTTTTTAAAGCTTTTTCCTCCTTTCTTATCTTTTCCTGGATTATTTTTTCATTTCCTCAATCCATTTTTCCCTCTCTCTTCTGGTTTCAAATGTATACACTCTAATTCTCTTTTGTTTTTATTGGTTACCCTTGAAACTTTACCATACACAATTCAGCAAAAAGTTAAACAAGATCTTAAATGCTCTCTCATATACTACAAAGAGCATATAGCAGTTTACCTCTGTTAAACTCCATCCAGACTAACCAACTAAGTGTTGTCAGCATTGTAACTGTGACTTTTTTATGCCTTCATTGAATATTTTTCTTTTTTTAAAAAAATTTTTTAAAGATTTTATTTATTTGCGAGAGAAAGAATGAGAGACAGAGAGCATGAGAGGGAGGAGGGTCAGAGGGAGAAGCAGACTCCCTGCTGAGCAGGGAGCCCGATGCGGGACTCGATCCCGGGACTCCAGGATCATGACCTGAGCTGAAGGCAGTCGCTTAACCAACTGAGCCACCCAGGCGCCCTAGGTCTTTTAATGCAGATTTCATTAGGTAGGCATGGTTGATTAAATCATTGGCCATTGTTGATTAACTCAATCCCCAGGGCTTCAGGGGGTGGGGCTGAAAGTTCCAACCCTTGAATCATGCCTTGGTCCTTCTGGTGACCAGTCCCATTCTGAAGCTATCTAGGGGACCCCAGCCACTAGTCATTTCATCAGCCTACCAAAAGACACTCTTTTCACTGCAGAGATCCCAAGGGTCTTAGAAGTTCTTGTGTGAGGAACCAATAGGACACTGAGGCCATATATTACAATAAAAAATGCTCCTACCACCCTTAATGCTCAGGAAATTACAAGGGTTTTAGGAACTCTGGGCCAGGAAGTGGGACAAGGAGCAAATATATATTTCTTTTTTTTTTTTTAAGATTTTATTTATTTATTTGACAGAGAGAAACACATCAAGAGAGGGAACACAAGCAGGGGGAGTGGGGGAGGGAGAAGCAGGCTTCCCACTGAGCAGGGAGCCCGATTCAGGACCCTGGGATCATGACCTGAGCCAAAGGCAGACGCTTAATGACTGAGGCACCCAGGCGCCCCTATATTTCTTACTATATCATATTATCACATCCTTTAGAAAGTCTCTTGGAGTTAAATTCTGTTTTTATTACCTGGGATGTTTTACCCCACCTTCATTATCATACAGTTCTGGGGTGATAGTTAAATTTTTTTTTGAGAGAGAGAAAAAGAGAGAGCATGGGGGGGCAGAAGGAGAGAGAGAGAAAATCTCAAACAAGCTCCACACTCAGCAAAGAGCCCAACTCTATGGGGCTCAATCTCACGACTCTGAGTTCACGATCCAGGCCAAAATCTAGAGTAGGACGCTTAACTGACTGAGCCACCTGGGTACCCCCAGAGTGATAGTTAATTTTTTCCGAGTCTAAACCTTGTAGTTTCTATTTTTGCTGTTAAGAAGTTGGCTCTAATTCTACATATACTTCCTTTTTTTTTTTTTTAAGATTGTACTTATTTATTTGACAGAGAGAGACACAGCGAGAGAGGGAACATAAGCAGGGGGAGTGGGGGAGGGAGAAGCAGGCTTCCCGCTGAGCAGGGAGCCCGATGCGGGACTTGATCCCAAGACCCTGGGATCATGACCTGAGCTGAAGGCAGACGCTTAACGATTGAACCACCCAGGTGCCCCTGTACATATAATTTCTTTGTGGAGGGCGCCTGGGTGGCTCAGTTGGTTAAGCGACTGCCTTCGGCTCAGGTCATGATCCTGGAGTCCTGGGATCGAGTCCCACATCGGGCTCCCTGCTCAGCGGGGGGTCTGCTTCTCCCTGTGACCCTCTTCCCTCTCATGCTCTCTGTCTCTCATTCTCTCTCTCTCAAATAAATAAATAAATACATAAAATCTTTAAAAAAAATAATTTCTTTGTGGAGGTCTGTTCTTTCACTCTGGGTACTCTTCAGTCTTTAACTACAGTGAGTCAAAGTGAGCAGTTTTTTTAAAATGTAATTTTATATTCTGTGCTTCCGGGATCCAAGAATTCATGTTTTGCTTTGCTTACACTTTTTTTTTTTTTTAAGTAATCTCTCTGCCCAACGTGGGGCTTGAACTCAGAACCCTGAGATCAAGAGTTGCATGTTCTATGGACTAAGCCAGCCAGGTGTCCCAGTCATTTTGTTTTTTTAACTTCTAATCAATTCTAGAAAATATACAGCAATAAACTCTTAAAATGTTGCTTCTCCTTGGGGCGCCTGGGTGGCTCAATCTGTTAAGTGTCCAACTCAGGTCATGATCTCAGGGTCATGGGATCAAGCCCATGTTGGACTCTAAGCTCAGTGGGGAGTCTGCTTCTCCCTCTGCTCCTCTCCCTACTCATGCTCTCTCTCTCTCAAATAAATAAATAAAATCTTTGAAAAAAAGTTGTTTGTCCTATATTCTCTTTTTTCCCCATTTCTGCCTCAGGTTAGAAAATTGTTAGACCTTCTCTTTCTAGCCCCCATATCCATTTTCAAATTTTAAAAATATTTTTCATTTCCTAATATTATATTCTGGGTAATTTCTTTTTTTTTTTTTTAAAGATTTTATTTATTTATTTGAGAGAGAGAGACACAGCGAGAGAGGGAACACAAGCAGGGGGAGTGGGAGAGAGAGAAGCAGGCTTCCCGCCGAGCAGGGAGCCCGATGCAGGGCTCGATCCCAGGACGCTGGGATCATGACCTGAGCTGAAGGCAGATGCTTAATGACTGAGCCACCCAGGTGCCCCTAATTAGTGTTGTTTTAAGCCATTAAGTGTTGAGGTAATTTGTTACACAGCACAAGATAACTTAGATAATGTCCTTTGTTTCTCTCACCATTTTGCACATTATGGTACATTACAAACTCAACCATTCCAGGACTTGGAGTCCCGGCAGTGGGGATCTCACATCTGTTAATTGTTCTTTCTGTGGACTCTAACTTACCGTCCTTGCTTCTGTGCTGGTGGTCTTTGACTCTGAACTCATTACTTGATATCGACCTGAGTCCTGTGAGGAGCATTTACGTTTACTTTTGCAGATTTTTAGGAGTGTTACCAATCTGGAGCTGCCCTGGGAGGCCCTGGCTTACCAGGAAAAAAAGGCTCCGTTTTCCAATTCACAACTACTTTCAGGGTCTTGGTGATGTCAATGCAGCCCCTTCCCTGTGCAGGCAGTTCTACTCCAAAGTCCTCTTTTTTTGTGAATTTTTGCCTCTCTGTTTTTTTTTGGGGGGGGGGGAGTAGTAGAGGGATTCTTGAAGAACTTTTATTAGATCTATGGGTTTTTTTTTAAGATTTTATTTATTTGTCAGAGAGAGAGAGAGAGAGCACAAGCAGGGGAAGCAGCAGGCAGAGGGAGAAGCAGGCTCCCTGCTGAGCAGGACCCCCGCTCTCAGGACCCTGGGACCATGACCTGAGCCAAAGGCAGACGCCCAACCAATTGAGCCACCCAGGCGCCCCATGAGGTCTATCTTTTAAGAAACCATCAATGTTGGGGCACCTGGGTGGCTCAGATGGTTGAGCGTCTGCCTTTGGCTCAGGTCGTGATCCCGGGGTCCTGGGATCGAGCCCCACCTCTGGCTCTTGGCTCAGCGGGGAGTCTGCTTCTCCCTCTCCCTCTGCCTTTCCCCCTGCTCATGCTCTCTGTATCTCTGTCTCAAGTGAATAAATAAAATCTTAAAAAAAATGACAACTGCTTAAAAAAAAAAAAGAAACCATCAATGTTGCAAAAACAGTATTATAACACCTAATCCATCATAATGCCAGAAGCTGAAGTCCAGGCTAAAATATTCAATTGTTCATTTTTACCATTTGTAATACATTAACGGAAATGTATTAAAAATCAGTTAGGGGCGCCTGGGTGGCTGAGTCAGGTAAACATCTGTCTTTAGCTCAAGTCATGATCCTGGGGGCCTGGGATCCAGCCCTGGTAGGGCTCCCTGCTCAGCGGGGAGTCTGCTTCCCCCTCTCTGTATGTCCCTCTCCCCCGACTTGTGCCCTCTCTCTCTCAAATAAATAAATAAAATCTTTAAAAAAATCAGTTAATACAACCAATCGTACATTCAGCTTATCTAAAGAAAGGTTTCCTTTTAGTTAACGGGGCAGATTTTAATGTTAGGAAGCATTTTAATCTTCTTACCTGTTAATCATTTTTCCTTTCTCCAA